AAGTCCAGCGAGCGGCCGGGGCTGCCTCCCGCCGGCACCGGGGGCTTGGGGCAGCTCCGGGCACGGGGACCGAGCTCCAGGGGAGTTGCTCCAAGCTGTCTGCCCGTCTCACCCCGTAATGCATGGGTTTCGTTGCTTTTTTGTTGTTGTTGTTGTGTTGTTTTATTTTTTTTTTCTCTCCTCCTTTTCAGTTTAATTGTTGGAGGAGTTTATGAAGCTGTTTGCCAAAACACAATCGACTCCAGGGAGCCAGCTTACACAAAAAGGGTGTGCCGCCAGGGCCAGGCCGGGCAGCCATGGAAACCACCACCTCTTTGCATTCGCCCAGGTGAAGCCAACGCTCTGTGGACGGCTTCTGAAAGCCGCAGGGACCCGCGAGGAAGCCGAACGCCTCCCTGCAAGCGTGTGTTGAGCGCTCACGCCGGCCCCTGCCACCTGCCCCGAGCCCCCAGAAGCAGGGCTGAAGGCTGGCGCTCCCCTGATGCCGTCCGTGCTCCAAGCACCATGAAGCACCCAGAAAATGCACGAGGTGCCTCGCTCATGCTCCTCCACGCTGGGGGCACCCGAGCAGAGCCACCTGTGTGCAAATAAAGGCAGGCAGCAGCAGGGTGTGGGGCTGGTGTGTGCCTCCCCGAGCCCCAGGACCCTGGGTCTGGCTGCAGGCGCGTGGCCGGGGGGGTTTTGCCTTTTGGAGGTGGGTGGCCAAGAGGGACCCCTGGCTGCGTCCTTCTCAGTCTTCAAGAAGGAACCGGAGTTTTTGGGAAGCACTGGCCACCAGCAGCCACCAGCAGCCACCCCAGAGCACAGGAGGGTGTTTAACGCCGTCCGGCTCATTTGAGTGCCTGCTCCAGGACACCCCTGCTACCGCAGGAGGAGGTGACATCAATTTACTGCCCACTTTGTGCTGCAGAAAGAGTGCCCAGGATTTAACGGCACCTCGGGCTGTGGGACTGCAGCCTCCCCGCTGGGATGCAGGGGAGCAGAGGGTGCAGCCTGGCTCCTGCAGAGCAGCACAGGGCATCGTGCGGCACACAGCACGACCTGGAAACGCTGACCTGGCTCTGAGAGCACCCACAGGAACAAATTTCCAGAACCGCCCTCAAAAATCAGCACCGAGCAGAGCCAGCGAGGAGCCCGACCTCCCCTGCTCTGCTCTGCCTTCGCTCAGACGCATGACGGGGATGATTCGATCCCGGTGCCTCTGAGGCCATCCCAGAGAGCCATCTGCGGACAGAGGCACCCGATACGCATCTGCCACAAAATGGCCTCAGCACGCAGCCCTGCTCCAGCCCAATTCCCTCAACACCGCGGCAGCTCAGCAGGTACCAGCAGCGCCCGACCACGCAGGAGCGCACTGGGGAGCCTGGCACAGGCAGGGGGCAGTTAGGTGGGCACCAACCTTTCTTTTGGTTCAGGGACAGAGGGCACGCTCTGGCAGCCCATCACTGCACGTATTTACCCCTGGATTTGTCTCCAGAAGCAGTGAGATGGCCTTTTTCTATCCACAGCCCCTCAGTTTGCCAGGTGCTGCCAGCCAGACACCACCAGTGCCATCTAAGGCTCAACCTGGCAGCTCCCCGGCCATCTCTCAGCCAAGGCAGGCTCTGGTCACCAAGGCCAGGCTGTCCCCAGCCACCGAGGCCGGGCTGTCCCCGCTCACAGCCCCATCAGACCCCACAGAGCCGTGGGGAGACCCCAGCAGGGCCACGAGGCGGGCGAGTGCCGGTAAGGCTCGGTGCGTCAGCCTTTCTGGCATCGACCTCCCAAACTCATTCAAATATTTCCTTTTTTTTTTTTTTTTTTTTTAATTTAATGTTCCCTATAATTCATCTGTCCCAAAAGATAATCAATAGAGGCCGTAATGAAAATTTGAGCCATATTTTATGATCCGCTGCAGGAGAAAGGGCCACATCAGCAGGACTAGCCTTGGCTCCCAGCATCACTCCTGCGCCCGCCCGCTCGCTGGCCGGGTTCCCCACCTCGCCTGGCTGTGGTGCCTGACGGGGGCACCCCTGGGAGAAGCTCGCGCCCTCCCCTCTGACTGCAAGAGGCCAGATCTGCAGAGAAAACGTGTACGTGTGTAGGGGAGGGAGTGCGCAAAGGGCCCCGACCCAGCCACCTCGGGGAACCTCACCGACATCCCTCAACTTCTCAGCTCTGAAACAAATCCTGCAGCCCTCCACCATGCCCTGGGAGGAACGGGATGATCAGCGTCGCAGGATCTGAGGGTTTTTTTCTGCCCGTCACAGGCGTTCCCTAAACCTCAGCACTGCCTCTCAAGCAGGCTGGGCTCTGCGCTCCTCTCCTCCCAACGGGACCCATCCCCAGCATCACGAGGGTGGTCGCTCATGGGGTAGGAGAGGCGCCTGCTGTGCAGGGCTCCTCTGCTGAGCAAAGCCCAAAGGAGCACTTCTGGGCTCCCCAGTTCACGCCCCGTGCTGCTGTGGGGTTTTCACTCCACGTCATAAATCCCACAGCACCTCCACCTATTCCCCCGGCACACAACCGGCAGGTTTCTTCTTCCTGTGCTTGGACACGGAGGCAGGCAGTGCTGAAATGAAGGCGAAAGCCCCGTCCTGTTCCCGGAACCCCTCTGCACCACGGATTCCCAGCAGCGGCCCCGTCCTCCCTCCGAGGGCTGCAGCATATTTCACTGCCCGAAGCTGCCGCGTCCGCAGGGAGCCGGAGGTAACAAAACCGTCTTGGATTTGGCCGAAGGAAAAAAATATCAGAAGCGAAAGGCCAGAGAGAGGAATTTATAACAGCAGCTAAGGCAGCAAAATTACAAGTGCCTGACCAGGAGCTGCCCTCCCGCTCAGCGTGTCACGTCGTGCAGCTTCCCGTGTGTCTCGGGGGGCAGGATGCTGCAGGGAGCGCAGCCAGGAGCCGCTGCTTTGCTGTGCACAGAGCAGCAGCAGCCCCCCAGCAGCACTCAGCCGCCAGGCACAGGCTGGAGGCCAGGAAGGCTCTGCTCAGCATCTGGGCAGGAGGATCACACCGCTCCAGAGCACTGCCTTCCCTCTACCAAACCCTTTTTGGTGACACCGGGCAGGTTTACTGCTGGCACTGCCTCCCCAGGGAAGCCAGAAAATGTTCCCACCCCTTGTGGAAGATACGGGCTGGCAGCCTGAATCCCCACAACCACTGGTCATTTCCACCTCTCCTTTCTCTTGGAAGCCTCGGCATAAACCATCTTTGTTTAAAAACATACACCAGGGCATTCAAATTAACTGTTGCTCCCAATACGTAAATAACGCGTCCGAATTTGCAAGGTGCATGATGAGCTGCGAACCCATGGGACACGGGTGAGCAGCCCCATGCTTTAACACCATACAGGGGAGGGGACTGCGACCCCAGGGCAGGGCTGGGGACAGCAGTGCTCTCCCTCTGCAGCTCAGTGCAGCCACCCTCAGCCCCCTCCTGCTGCACCCCGCTGCCCGCACCGAGCTGCCCACCTGCCCGCCAGCGAAGCGTGCGGGGACGCACCGCGCTTGGCGCAGTCTCCAACTTGCCCCAGATTTGAACCGGTGACCCTTACTAATATCATCCAGCGCCTTGATATCCTCGGGGAGCAATCAGCACGTTTTATTAACCCGGCCAATTTCAGAAGTGCACACGCAGTGTTCTGGTTCCCCGGGACAATTACATGCCATGGGTCCAGCTCCCGCAGACGCCCGTGCAGGAGCGACCCCCAGCATGGCACTGAGCAAGGCCGGCTCCCTCGGAGCACAGAGCACACCCCGTGCCTGCAGACATGGCTTGCAGCAGGAATATTCCAGCCCAGCAGAAAGCCTCAGAGATCCCCACAACCAAATCCATTTTTTAAGATGACATGTTTCCACCTATTGGTCCCCGGAGTGAACTAATTGCTTTTGCTAGTTTTAAAAGCCAGAATTATTTCACTAGGAAAAAAAAAAAAAAGAAAGGAGTAAGTGCATGGGAACTCGGAGATTTCTGATGTGAAATCGCCACGCCTGCAGACAGAGCTGCTGCTCATGATTCCAGCTTTATGGCACACCACGCCACCAGGGAACCCTTCACCTCCTGGTGAAGTGGGGAAAAGAAGGAGTTAAAGTAACCTGAGCGAACTCAAGGAGCCATTTAGCCAGAGCTAGGAGATAAGATTTCTGCCTGGGCTCTAACCACTAGGTTATCCCCTGCTTTGCTAAATAAAATTCTCAGTCTAAGGGGAGATTACTATTTACACTTGAAGACCATTTCTCCAGCTTATTTTGTTGTGCTCCCCCCAGCTCCATTTTATAAACTTATTTTTTGACAGCCCACAAGAGCGAAGCTGCTCAGCAGGGCATCAGTCCAGGACAGGGCTTCGGCTCCTCTCTGGTTCAGAGAGAAGAATCGCCCAAGCCACAGGCAGCAAGGACCCAAATGTTCTTTGCCATGCTGAGAAGGGAAGGCGGTCTCGTCTCCCACCCCTGCCAACAAGCGCCCACAGGTTCAGACATCCCAAGACAGAACTGCCCCCTTCCAGACCTGCCTGCTCTGGCACGTGGGCTGCACTGGGAACCGCAGCCCAGAACACGCTGCCATACAAACATGCAAATTACACAGAGCAACAGAGTCCAAAAAAAAAAAAAAGATCCCAGAAAAAAAATAAAAGTAGAGGCACAAATTTCACAGGGACTGTAAGAGGAACGAAGCGTGTGCCCTGCCAGAAACCTGCACTTACCTGCACCAAGAAGCAAGACACATTTTGGGCGCAAAAGCACACCCCAGACATGTGCACCACATCACTCCTGTGAAAACCAGTCCTCAGTGGTGAGCATAAACCAAATGGGAAGCAAGAAAAACCTAAACACAGCACCACTTCTGGGGAAAAGCAGCCACTGTTTGCTGGTAAAGCATTAACTTTGCCTCCTTTCCCCAGCTCTGAAGGAATTGCTTTTTATTTTGATGAGGCTCAGCTGTCTTTCAAATGAACCACAGCTGAAGGTGACCACTGCTAATTTTTTTTTTATCATCATTTTACGAACATGTTGACCTTAATTCACAAATGCTCTGCAGAGTGAATTTCCTTACATTTTAGTTTTCTTACTTGAACATTTCAGAGACGTGGATTTTTAAAGATGAGGAGGAGAAATTACCTCATACAAACTTGTACTGGTTTAAAGCCCAGCAACCTCTTAACTTTATTTTTTTTTTCTTATTTTTTATTTTGTAGAAATTTGTTACTAATCAATTTACACTGAGCCAAAATAATTACTTCCATGCAGGCTATCAGTTTAACCACCGTATCTCAAACTGCTGTAAATGCTTTGCATGTAAAAGGCTTCAGATTATATAATACAAAGACGTCTTCCACCTTCTCCCCTTTCTCAGCATACATGCTCCGGATTTAATTTGGGCATTTATGCACTGGACAGTGGGGAGAAGTCAGTGTGACTCGTGCACTCGGAGGTCTCTGCTGTCGTGTTTACACTGCAAACGAAGTTTGGAGAACTTGTTTGAAGTAAGCACTTTCTCCGCCAGCTCACTGTTTAATGGATGTTTTCCTTTCGAGATTTTTATTTATCAAGATCCCCCCCCTTTGTTTTCCAAAACGCAGGCTTTATGGAGGAAACATTCAGCCCTCAAATCACCATCTCCAGGCAAAGTGAGGCTGCTGAAGACGTTACCCGCTCGTTGCGCACACACCTCTACACGGAGATTCTTAATCTTCACCCACCCAAGATTAAGACAACTCAAATTATGAAATCGATACCAATACAAACAGCAACATCTATTACAGCTTCAATGTTTTCACTGTATTTTTTTCCGAACTATTAAAGCGGTATGATTTTAATGTGACTGTTGTTGTTTAAGCAGTACAAATTCCCAGTTGTTTGATGCTGTGAGTACTTATGCAAATGCCCCACTTTCCTTATACAAACCCGTCCTTTGACTCCTCGTGTGAGTAAAGAAAATATTTGAGTGTTTGCAAGATGAGGATCCATTTATATTTAAGGCTCCATTACTGATCAGGAGGCAGAGTGTCCTTAAGGTGGATATAAATTATAGTTATACTAATTTTAGGGCCCTTAGTCTCTGTCCTAGTGATGTAGCAGAAGAGCTTTTGAATAAAGGAGATTCTTCTCTCACAGCAGTTTCAGTTCTTTTCTTTCATTAGCCAGGACCTATCCTATATATATATATCTATGTTTCCTCTCTATATGCATGTCTGAATACCTCTTTGAGGTTTAACGCTCCTGCACCTAAGATTCAAACATAACAAATCAAAAATCATTTTGCAAGCAACTACAACAGGCATTTCCAGAAGTTACATCACATAACAAGTCATGCAATTAAACTTTAATGAAAAAATAAAAACAAAAACACCGAGAAGCCCCTAGTGCTTGCTTTGTCTTTTAAACAATCCATCATAAAAATGCAGAATGTTAAAATGGAAGCACCTCTGACTAAAGCTGTGCCGTAAACAATTTTTTCCTAATGAATTCCACCTCTTTACTCCACTGAATCAGCAGAGCCGGATGGAATTTCTCTCCCCTCTTCCTTCTCTCACTAGAAAAAGGATGTGGTGCTGATAAAACTAGTAACCCATGAAGATCACTTCCCCGAGGTGAGATGCCTCCTGCTCTCAGGGGGCCGCAGGCTCACGGCTCCCTCCTCCCCGCGCCGCGGTGCCGCTCTCCCAGCCGGCCCCTGGGAAGCAGCGGGACCTTCGGTGCCATAACGGCTGAGCTGGGGCACGCAGGAGGTCTGATGGCAACTCGAAATGCTCGTGCATGTGCACATTTCTCTTTGGCAAAAAAAAGTACAGACCCAGTTCTTCCAAATTTCTGAGCACCTGCAGCTTTGGAAGGCTTCAGCTGGAGCCCAAGGGCCAGACACCTCTCCAAGATGGGTGCCTCAACCTGCACGCTCTGCTCCTCTTTTTCAGCTTCACCTCCTGCTTCTATTTTTCCACACCTGTAAATGATATCCCCTTAAAATCAAACCTTTTATTTCATGTACGGGGAGGTGGTATCATTCGATGAAAGGTAACTGTAGTTTACAGAAGGACAAGAGAACGGAAGGGGTTGTCATTTCCAAAATAATGTTAGGGAAGGAAAAAAGGAAACAGAAGACGGGTCACAGTTGGACATGGAAACCACTGAGGCCCAGGACTAGAAGAGACACAGGCACACGAGCAGATCCCCTGCCTCTGGCTCATCCATGGCTGCAGGAGAGGACTCGGAGCAGCAGAGAGGAGAGGGAAATTCTACCTGGCACAAAGCAGGACAACTCTTCTTGCATCTGTCACACATTCTTTCCTAATGTTTGCATTTTTGTGTTTTCTAAAGTGCGCAACAGAACCAGATATGAAATTAAGATGAGCTTTAGAATATTTGATGTAATTTATTTCTCACCATTTATTTTTCCCATTTTCCTCTCTTGGACAGTAACATAACCAGCGTGACTTTTTGGTTTTCTTGAACTAGCCCCCAACCCACTGTATCAGACTCTAGATACTGCAGAGACAGCATGAAATAATTTAAAAATGAAAGTAAGCAAAATGCACAATGCAAAACTTTCCTGGTCACATTTTTGTCTTTGAGATTTTTTTCCCTGTTTGTATAAAAAGGAGAGTTTGTTCGAATCAGTAACATTATTCCTTCCCCCACCTGCTAGCGGGGATTTCGGTTTCTAACCACGGCTGTTTCCTTAATATACAAAATAAAATGATTTTCAATGAAACCTACATTTGGATAGTTGTGTTGTTTTTCTTTCTTTTTACAGCTCACTGTATTGTGTTATGAAATCAAACATCTGTCCCTGTGAAAGGAGTCTTATCTCAGGCTCACAAAGCACCTCTCCTCCCAGCAGCTCCAGGTGGGGAAGGCAGCGCGGCCGCGGGGCGCAGCCGGGAGTACGGGGACAATTCCCACTGCCCAGGGAATTTCCCACTCCTGTGCAAGGAGACAGCTCGTCCTCACAGGCACCAGCTGAGGGACGCTCATAAATTACAGCATTGAAGAAAGAAAGTCTGAAATCTCCTGCAGAGAACTGGCGGTGCCACCCAACTCCTTCAAGGTGTGGGGCAAAATGCAGGGGCCTCTCCTACGGGCAAGGAACACTTGAGGCCCTGGAATTAGCACCAATTTTCCTGGGCAGGCAGTCAGGCCCTTCATCCCCAAAAGTGTCCAAAGGAAGAGCTGCAGGAAAGCCAGAAGCCACCCCTTGGTTTTTAAGACAAATGAGAAGCAGCCCGGGGTAGATGCAATGTGCTGGTCACCAGCGGATGAGGACACCCAGGCTCTGACCACGTCCCCACCACGTCCCTCAGCACAAGACAACACCAGCACGAAGCCAAGCACAGCAAAAGGCTCCAAAAGCTGGCTTTTAACATGGTTTTGATGAAGGAACTGGATCTGGCAAAGCCTCACTGTGCACGTTTGCCACTATGGAAAGGCTGCGGTCCCCTCCTGCTTCTTCCCAGCTCACCACGGCGCTCCTGCCTCCCCACACAACGCAAGGTTTTGGGGTTTCCCTTCCATGAAAGCACTGCTTCTCCCAACGTGAGCCTGCCAAAGGAAGCTGCAGGCTCGGGAAGGGTCCAAGAGGTTGCCCCGTAGTGTGAGCAGGGAAGAAGAGATCCCATCACACAGGAGCTGGGCTGGGCTGTGAAATCTGCGATCAGGCATCTGGAAAGCCATCTGAGAAAGCAGGCTCGGGAAGGCAGAGGGTGGCTGAACACCTCCTCCTCCCTGTCTGGCGAGCGCTCCCATCTCAGCACGCTCGGCCGCATCGTCCTGACCCCAGGTGTGAGATGGACGTGTGGGGAACAAGTGGATGAGGCCAGGAAGGAAGGAAGGGGGGTGCAAGGATGGGCTGGGAGGGCAGGACGAGGGAAAGGAGGCAGGCGAAGACCAGGAGGCAGGTGCCAGGTACAGCACTCTCTGTCTCTATTGGCAGGATCTCAAAATACTGCTGGAAGTCTCTTGGACCAGAGAGCAAGCCTGGGAGCTCCCAAAACCAAACTCTGGATGTGGGTGTGCAGTAAATGCTAAGTGTGCAGGGGGGCCGGGTGTCTTCCCCAGCAAAGCAGCGTCGTGCAGAGGCTGCACACAGCCACGGGACGGCTCTAACAACTCCAGCACACCTCTACAGTTATCCCAGCTCTCTACTTCCACGTTTCCACTCCTGAGCTTCCCGGTTTCCTTAGGATGGCCAGCGAGGAGCCCAGGGCAGCAGCCTGCCACCGACACAGAGCGAGAGAGCTCGGGGGCCTGGGGGTTCCCACGACTGCCTGCGCCAAGCCCTCCTGCCTGCCCCGAGCCAGGAAGAGCTGCACGGGGAGACCAAACCTGCCCTGCAAAGTCCCAAATCCAAGTCATGCAAATTCCAGCCTTCCTCCGAGCACTGATACCAACACAGGGCCTCTGACTTCATCAAACGGATGAAGGAAATGGGAAAAGGAGGGGGGGCCTTACTGCCTACACACACCCCACCTCGGGCAATAGAGGGGGTGTGAATAATGGAGCAGGTTCAGCAGCCAACAGCGTTCAGGGTCGAGTTAGTAATCCTCTTTTTCCATTTCCGCTTGCTATTTGATGTAATTATAGTTTTTGATTGAAATCCACCCGGAGTGTAACCCCTCTGCTTAATGTACTGCTTAAATCCTTGGGTACACAACCACGCTGCTCCCCAGACTCGCCTGGAATAGGAAACCATCTCAATGCCAAAAATAAGTCTTTGCTTTCTTTGGTAACGCCCTCGGTCTTGGCTCAGCCTCTGCTTCATCCACCAAAGAAGAAGGGCAGGGAGTGTGAGGGCTGCCTGATGCCACCCATGGGCTAGCGGCTTCATGATAGAAGTTGAGCCTTCAAGAGGGTTCACAAAGGTCTGGCACTTCGTTAAAGCGCTAGGAGAGGTTGCACAGTGGCAAGAACTCGGCCCCTGGAGCCTGGCCTCAATTTCCCAGTGGATTTGCTGCTCTCTGAACCACGAACACCAGCACGGCAAAGCTCTGTCCCGCCTTTGCGTGCAGTGGTTTCTCTCCTGAAAGGCTTCTTGAGGCTAGAATCATGAATAGATGATGTTCCTGATCCGAAGGAAAGCCGGGAGATCTGCCTGGCTGCACGATCAGATAGACGGAGCTGGTTTTTCCTCCCCAGCTCCCTCCGTACCACCTGGCCAGGAACGCAGCAGCGAGGCCAGCAGCCAGGCACCATGAGAGTGCCTCGGCGATCACAACCCAGGAGCAGCCCACAGCAGTGTGACCGGGCTGGCAGCACGGTCACTGACACTTGTGGACAGAGACTGCCAGGGAAGAAGGAGTGCTTCAGGTACCCATTGGTCTGCTACCAGAAGGAAAAGGGTTCTTGGAGGGCTTCACACCAAAATCAGGAGCTCAGCCCTACAGGGTGGGCACACAACGCGTAGCGTTGCTCCAGAAAGGCAGCCCATGGAGTGAGGTGGAGCCAGAAGGTGCCCGGACAGTGACTGAAGGCATAATTTCACTCAAGAACCAGAAAAAAATCTTCTTTTCAGCCATGCAGGAGGAACATGGTTCCCCTGATGTTAGTGTTGCTTGAAGACGGAGCCACGTGTGCAGGTGAACACGGTCAGAAGTAACTGGCACGAGGAGAACGAAGCTCTCAAAATTACCTTGTGAGATTTTCCGATCCGTTGCAGGAGCTTGGAAGGGTCCAAGCGAGCTGCCAAGTAGATGCCTCCACACCTAGAGACGCCCGGCTCCCCGAGGCACGTGGCCAAGCAGCACGGGACCTTTGGAACCACACAGGGCCCCGAGTCCGTGTCTTTGCCCTTTACAGCATCATTTATAGCAAGGCTGAGCAGTGGCAAGACAGTGTGATGGGAAGAGCTGCGATAAACGACTTCACGGAGGTGAAAGGGACCAGAGCATGCGCACATCCCTCTC